CACAGATTGCTCCGCGTACTAAAGTTGTACTACAAAGTCGCCAGTTCAGACCCAATCGCACTCTCGCCTGCATTTCGCGCACTCGACACGCACGATCTCCGCAGAGGGTCGCGCGCACATGGGACAAATCGCACTCTCGCCTGCATTTCGCGCACTTGACACGCACGATCTCCGCAGAGGGTTGCGCGGGCACAGACCAAATCGCACTCTCGCCTGCATTTCGCGCACTCGACACGCACGATCTCCGCAGAGGGTTGCGCGCGCACAGACCCAATCGCACTCTCGCCTGCATTTTGCGCACTCGACACGCACGATCTCCGCAGAGGGCTGCGCGCACATACGACAAATCGCACTCTCGCCTGCATTTCGCGCACTTGACACGCATGATCTCCGCAGAGAGTTGCGCGCACGTACGACAAATCGCACTCTCGCCTGCACTTCGCGCACTTGACACGCACGATCTTCGCAGAGGGTTGCATTTTCGGTTGACGCTGTTCGTCCCACCCTCCGCCTTTAAGAGAGAATTTATAAAGTGGGGACATGTTTTTCATTAGGAGGGATACTTGCATACCTTTGCACTTGGATACTTACACTTGCATACTTACCCTTGGATGCTTTTTACCCTTACACTGGGATACGTATAGACGTGTAGAAGCGTCAGTGTTCAAGTGTAAGTGTAGAAATGTCATGAAATGTCAGTGTTCAAGTGCAAGTGTGGAAGTGTCAGTGTGTAAGTGTAAGTGTCGAAGTGTCAGTGTTCAAGGGATTTTCCGGAAGAACCCTTCGCAATGCTTTCGGGAAAAAATAACTCATCATGAATCATATCATAGGATCCTGAGTGTGCCTAAGGTACAGTAAATGTATTTTTAGCAAAGGTGCAAGTCTGGTGAAAGCCGGTGAAACCTATATCATGTGGACCTATAACGTGACTCATTTGACTCAAGCCGTGCCAGAGTCAGTTGAATCTCCCAAATTAATGTTAGGTTATGGATCATGATGGATCATTGTGGTTCATTCATCAGTCGATTCAACTGACGCGGAGTGGTTCAGTGGCTCTTACTGCAAGGCCGTAAAAAAGCACGAACGTCCTTTCTTTCAGGGCTCGCTACATAATTACAAGACATCCGGGTATTCTTGCAAGCCGGGGAGAAAAAGTATATATCTCAAAGACCTTTCTTCGTCTCCAATTTCGAACCTTTTCTTCGTCTTAGAGACCATGACACAGGTCCGACCCGTGATGGACAGGTCCGACCGTGACCGTGGGGAGCAATCTGTCAAAACACCGAATCTGTCAAGAAACCTTTGAAACCAACTGCTTCCGGGTTCAGGTCGTAGTGCCCCTGGCTGTCCGACGGGCCGTCCGACTCTCCGACCTTCCTGCCTCCTCTCAAAGACCCTATTACTTCTCCAAGACCAACAGCCAAAAGACCAAGTACAACATGGCACAACCACTGACCGCCAGTCAGCCCGGAGCAATCCCAACAGATTGATGCCAGTTTCACGAGCCAATGAATCCCGAAAGTCAAGCCAAAATCGATCTGCGTCCAGGAAAACATTGCAGGACCCTCATGCATCAAACGAAATGAATACAACATATATATATATATATATAATCCAATCATGGATTTTTTGCAACCTTGCCGGATAGGAGCCACAGGCTGCTACATGTATAATCATTTATATACATGACTCACATGGTCCAACCTCCCTGGTGTCAACAAGTCCGGCTGACCCGCCTCTCGGCAATTGCAGATCTGCCAGCCACTGAGCGCATCGAGAATCTCGTGCTGCCGCAGCAGGGGAAGGTTCAGGAGCCTCAGGAGCGAGTGGATGAAAAGCAATGCCCTTGTTCCTAGTAGCGATGCCCTTGTTACTAGCAGCGAGAGTGGGTGAAAACATATGAAAACCCTATCCACCCATGTCCACCTCTCAGAAGAGACCCCTTTTCATGGCCCATCTCTGATCCTGAACTCGAAGGCTTCGTGGAATGGGTTTGGCGAAAAAAGAAGCACACCACAATTCAAATGGTGCTCAGCACCCTCCCGAAGCATCTACCAAACAGCACTAAATCCTGTAAAGTGGCGGCAAACAAAGAATGATAATTTGGCGTTTTGTGGGCACAGCAGGGTTAACTGAGGCGAAACAGCTTGCAAAGAATCTCGTGCTCTCGTACAGGGTGCGAAACCGCTCCACGCAAACTGGAAACTCCTGCAGATGTTTGCAGATTGCAGATCCTTTTCGAAGATTCACGGGCCTTTCAAGTCAGCAAATTCAGCAAACCTCCCGGACCAAGCATCTCCAGTCCCGGAAAGGTGTTGCTTCTGCCAAGATGCTCCATATCCTTCTGAAACCTGAGAGTTCAACTCAAATGCTGCGAACCCCTGAGCAATCAACGTGCCGGATCAATGAAAAACTATCGCAAGGGAGGATGGTTTGCCTAGATCTGGCTTAGTGGCTCCGGCCGGCTTTCAATGCCCTCTCGGCTCATCAAATTGAGATGGAGCAGCCTTGGCAACGAAATGCTACAGCCATGTCATTGGGAAATCAATTTGCAGCAAATGCCGAACGATGCGCTCAAAGAGGTGAAGCATGGTGTTTTGGTGTTTGACTCTCCTAAGATGGTGGTTCGAGTTCACCGTTTGATTTTGGAGTAGCGGGTTTCGAGGTGAAGCTCCAAAATCAGTTTGGTCTCTAACTCTCTCGCAGGTCTGCGCCCGTCTCCGAGCCTCGGGCGTGCGGCCTGACGGACGACATACATCGACCCATTCGCAGCGATATTCGGAAAGCCCATTCTGCGTAGATCCTAGAGTGACTCCCCCACCTCGTGGTGTATGTATGCGTATGGTGAAAAAGATGGCGTCTTCCCATCCCCTTTGGAATCTCACCTGGCGTGGAGATCCGCTTGAGCGCTCGCAGGTAGTCCTCCAGGCACCCGCTCCTGCCATGATGATCGAGACATGGATGAGAACTGAGTCTCAAAAAGTGGTCAGGAAGGGAGGAAGGGAAGGGGAGCTGATGAGACGCGTTCTGGATCTCCTGTACACGTTCTGAAAGATGGTGTTGTCAATCAACAGGTCCTTGGAGTGCATGAGGCTTCAAGCCAAACGCTCCGGCCGGTGCAGCAAACTTCTTCGATCAAGCATGCTTTTCGATGAGCCACCAGCGGAACGGAGGGCTCTGGTAGCTCACAAGCATCAGCATGGTAGAAGAAGCACCCAGCCTTGCAGAGACGGCCGGGCGTCACAAATCATCTCAGCCGGCAGATGTGGACCAAAACCGAGGCTCTGACGGTTCCGCTGTACTCCTTCCTCGCAGCCTGGCAGATTTGCAAGGAAGGGTGGCCAAAGAATATATAAGAATATATTGGTGAGGCTCCTGAGTGGCATTGACCTCCAAACTGACCGAGTGGGATTTCGACCTCTTGGATTTGTCCAGATCTTCCTTCAAAGCTGCCGCACATACGTGAGGCTCACATGTTTCTAACCATTGTCAATGTGGACCTTCACCAAGGCCTTCACCCAAATCACTCATGTGTCTACGTCCTTACCAGGTTTGTGCTTCACCCAATCCCCACCCTCCCCACGCGGTTTTCTCGACGTCGCCTTGATGGCCGCCCAGGCAAAGTCCACCCCGCCCACCACCACAGCGTCGCGCTCCTCGCAAGGGCAGGCGGCACGCGCGGCACCTGCCAAGTGGGCGACCTGAGGAAACATCAATGAAAATGTCAAGGAATGCTGAAAAGGACACATAAGCTGAAAGAATGACTTACCCATGCATTTTGGCGCCAGAATTGCATGCGATAATTGGCAAGGACGCATTTCCTTGCACAGTGCTCCCACACGTTCATGCTCGGGCCAAAGCATCCAAGCCAAGGCCGCACCCCAAGATCACAGCAGAGAGCCCGTTGAGCTCCTGCAAGAAGCATAGATTGAAAAATTGCACCAGCATCAGCATAGAGCCCAACAAGCTAGGCAGAATCCAACGACACAAAAAGTCATTCTGTAGCTGTTGACATGTGGCTAGCTGCGGCTAGCTGGGACTATATAGAATGTACATTGCAGCCAGCACGGCCAGCTCACAGCATCAGCACCAGCACCGACACTCTGTCTCCAAAGCGCGTGCAACCAGCTGACACCAGCACCGGCACTAGCACCAACACCCTGCTTCGAAAGTGCACAACAGCCAGCTCATCCTGCTTTTGAAGAAAGATCCTCTTACCTATCGCAATTTGGGGAGAAATAATATACACCACATGACAAGAAAAAAGACACCCAACCGCATCCCAACTACCACCAAACCCCCTCCTGCAGTTCCGAGCACAGCCGCTCGATCTCCAGCTTCGGCCGTTCGAGGCTCCAGAACTCGAAGCTGCCGCCGGGCCCGTACTCCCTCGGAAAGGGCAGGTCTGGGTCACCAGGGCGGGAGGGATCGGAGAAATGCGGGGACTCGAAGAACTGCGGGTGTGGTGGATGGATGTCCCATGGTCTTAAGACCCAAAACCATACATATAAGCCATATCCTAGGCATACAGGAGCACCTTCTGATCGTCATGGCTTTTGTGGACTTGAACTTTCGACCCTCAAGACACGGCGGTCGCCAAGGGCGGTTGCCAAGTCGCCGATTCCAAAAGAGCTCCTCGTCGCTCAGCTCCTTTCCGGATTCAGCACGATCACGGCATTGGAAGAGGCCCTCCCTGTTCCTTGGACCAGATCTTTGATGAATCTTTGGCTGCGCACACGCTCACTCACTCACTCACTCACTCTCTCTCTCTCTCTCTCTGTACATTCTCTTCGACCCTTGAGAAGTGCTATGGCGTTTTGACGCCAGATCTGAACACTGCCCTCTTGCATCCTTTTGCGGTACCCATTGTATGCATGCTGCATGATCATCAAATGACATCGCCCACGTTTCTTAGAGCCAACCAGCCACGGATGGAGCGCCAAGCCACGCTCTTCGCAAGGCGTGCAGCCCGTCGGGCCGTGGGAAACGGGGGAGGGACAAGGCCGCAGACCTGCCACTGCTGTCCACTGCGATTGGAAAACGGCCATATGAACTTGATTGAACTTGGCGGACGTGACAAAACTGCCAGTGAATTCTTTTGGTTTGGGCTTCCGAGGGGGCTGTGCCCGTACTAGGGACAGGAAGTGATTGTTGAAAAAGAGAGCGGAGAACCGAACCATGCGGAAAGGGCAAGACCTATGGCACTATGGCCTATAGTTTCAACCTCTTACCACCCTTGCCCCCAACATCTCAGGATAGTTGCATGTGAATCCATCTCACACTGCCGCAAAGCCCTCCACATCTTGCGGGCCTTGTTCCGCTCCATTGACCTCGGCCTGCCAAACTCACCAAGCCAGCACAGAAAAACAGCTGTTTTGGGAAGCCCCAAGAAGAACGAAGCAAGACGCCGAAGTAATCCAAGGGTGGCATGGGAACCTGTCCAACCACAATGGTACAAGACATCGGTCGTCTCTCAAGCAGGGTGCACGGTATATTTCTACGCGTGTTCTCTCGACACTCACGAGGGCAGCCCGCTGAACCACCGCCATATCGCACCCTACACCCTGGAAGATTAACATGGAACCTGAAAACCACTGAGTTGTAGATGTTGTGAAGGAAAATCGTCTTCCAAAGGTCCATTTTCGGTTCCATGACCATCTTCCCGAGTGTAACCCATCAGCACAAACGTGCTGGAAGATCAGGTCCAGAGCCCCACCTGGTCCGAAGCAAAAGGTCTCGATGACAGCCTAGAAGGGGGCGCGTCAGCTCCCAATAAACTGTCGTTGCATCTTATGATACAGTGGGGGCACAGAAAATCACAGAAATGTCTATCAAAGACCCCTCAATTTGACATCAAGTCGCCTGGTCATTAAGATAATTATGTAAGGGAAAGGATTGTCTTCCAAGCACTTCTAACGGCCTAGCGGCTAGTGAGTGGGTCCCTGCTTCAAACCTGAGCGCCCCCACACAGCCGAAACCAACCCAGCACAGCCGGCGGCACACCACCATTGGTCAGGCCCATGGGCAGCATGCGGAAAGATTTGTGGGTATACATACAGTTCATATGTGTATATATATACACACAACACAAATTATATATATAATAGTGATATATATATATATATATAACTAGTTGAATCTTGTTGGAAGGTTCATCTTAAAAAAAAGAACTCAAGCGGCTTCCAGGTGGCCAAAGGAGTGCTGCAGTGGCACATGATTGGAGAACTGGCCGGCTAGGTGGCCTTAGAAAATACACTGATGTAGCATCCCCGTTTTCCTCTTGTGATCAGCGAGCCTGCTGCGGCTCAATAAAGAGACTGTTGGACTGCTGGCTCACACCAGCCACGCTCCAAAACAAACATCAAGCTACATATAGTTCCAACGAGTATGTCAAATCAAACGTCAAAGTACTGTACCAGGAGTGCGCTCGGTCAACTCGGAGTGCAGCTCCGAGGACTTGACTCATTGGCGATGTGGAGGTGGCCTCAAATCCAAACCTGGTTCCCTGGTCTTGGCAGCGGGAACCTCCACCAACCAAAATCATTGTGTTGCACCATGGAAGGACAAATTAGTTGCTATGAGGCTACGTGACAGCATTACAAAGGGGCATGAAACCCTGCCAGGAGTTCCTTATCTTTGTTGGGGGCATGTCTATCCAAGCACAGGTTCCTGATAGCCAAAGGATGCCGAGGGTCTCCAAAAAAGAAATGTGCTCCGCACAATCGATGATTTCCTCCAACTCCAACCCTGATGCCCCTAATCCTGGCACCCAGTTCCAGCCGCAGGATTGCGCGCCCGCGATCCACCAGAAGAACCACCAGGTAAAACCCCAAAAAAACGCTCCAAGCGGGTCCTGGAGCGGGTCTTCGTTCCGCCATCCCAACGGAAAACACCGGTTGCGCGTTCACCGCCTTAGGCGCCCGGGCAGCTGTTCACCGCCGCATGCAGCGCCGTGTTGCCTGGCGCGCCCGCCCGGCTGTAGCGGAGCGGAGCGGTCCGACGCGGTCCGCGGTCCGCGGCCGGTCCTGCGCGGTCGCAGGCACGGTGCCTCGGAAGCAGGCACGGTGGAGCAAAAAGAACCCGGGGAATCGGGGAAGCAGAATGACCAGGGATAACCAAAGGACTGGTGACTAAATATGTCTGAAATGTTAGACTTTCTTCTCCAGTGAGGATGACCCAAAGGAAACTCCTGTTGTAAGGGCCGCAAAAAATGCAAAAGCGGTATCAGCCGTAATCTAACAAATATCTCACAGGGACATCAAAATCAAAGTCTGTTGATCAGCTCGGACCACTGGGATGAACATCTGAGGTTCCCCAACCAGGGCGAAGAAGCCAGGGCCGCAAGAGCTTGCTGAAATGAAACCTTGGAGTGAGTAAGGTATCTCATCAGTTGGCGTTGAATTGGATTAGTGATTGTATCTCAAGAGTTATGGTTTAAATGGGTTTAGACACCCTTTGATTTCAGGCGAAGGCACTGCTCCTGCTGAAGAGCAGTTTAGTTGCTTCATCCAGCCAGGCGTGTTTGGCTTCATCAACCTTTTGGCATATCGGAATCGTATTTGGAGGCTCCCCATCTTTTTGAGACACATGCGTCTTGGACCCAATGTGGCTGCTTCCTCAGGTTTGGACATCATGCCGCAATGGCACTAGGACAAGTCGCTACACCCTTTGGTGGCAGGCCCTATTTTGAGACTATGCCTCCAAGATCCTCCAAGTAATTTAAACCTTCTCCCTTCGATGCTCAGCTTTTAAGCTCGATGGAACGAAAGAGAAGGCAAGGGGGTAGATTAAGAAATGACATGAAGGAACGGCCAATGCGCAGACTCTGAAGATCGATCCACATTTTACACATGTTCCTTGTCGACCGCGCCGCTTGCGCTTCTCTCGTCAGCGATGAGATTCTCCGCAGATTTGACATTCTCATCAACGAGATCATGGAAAGTCCTCCAATTCAGTTGCCCTCTTCTCCACCTCGTCTTGTTGCACAAAGTAATCCCCAATTTTATACATCAACAGAACGCAAACAATTCCACACACTACATGCAAACACTGGTGATTCTTCGCCTGGATCTTCTTATAGACCTTTCCTTTGAAAGCCTCGATTCTTTTCGTTGGCAAGTAAATCTGCCGGAACTTGTTGAAGACGACATCATCTAGGGTCAACAAAAATTCAAGGGCGGTGCAATCCAGTACCAACTCAGTATTGCTGTTGGAGTGTGCTATAAACCTCACCCCCGCACAGGAGATGAAGCACGCCACCAAGATTTTGGGCAAGATCACAAGGGCAAAGATTGACAACCTTGCTAGATGACGACCGCAGTTTTCCCCGAACCACTTGATCCGACCACTGGTGAAGCAAAGGGTGTAAAGAATATCAAAAGTCTGAACGAATTCGAGGTGCATAAGCATGAGCCAAGCGAAACGCCCCGTGTTCCTCTCCCACTGGTCGCGGTTCAAGTGCACATTTTTTGCATCAAATTCTTTCCAGAAAGCATAGGTCAAGCCAAGCTGGCAACCATGCGAGAGGAATAGAAGAGTCAGATTAATGAACATCATCGCAATGTCATCGCAGCGACCACCGTCGCCTTCTTCAACTTCCTCCGTAAGCATGTGGTCCAAGATCATCAAGGAGACGAAGTGAGGGTCACCCTGCAGATCCTCCAGACCGAGAAAGGCGGCCTTGGCCTCGCCTTCATTGCCCTCATCCTGGACCTCTTCAGTCTTGATGTCTTCGCCTTCTTCATCTGGTGCCGATTCATAGGAGCCGCTGAGCCTACTATATCCCTTTGAACTTGGGCGGCCGGGCATGTCACTAACCAGCGCAGGGCTTGCTGCGGAGGAGGAGCTCCGAATGGAAATAGACACTTTGGGCCAAAGAACGGCTAAAGCTATCGATCCATTTGGTTTGGCACCCCATGGAGAAGTCTGAAGACACAAGGACCTGGAATGTGGAACATCAATGGGACACGCCAACCAGAACCAGCCGTAAAAGGCAGCAGCAGAGTGGTGAAAGTCCAGTAGCGTTTTTCATGTGAGCCTCTGGCAACATGCCCCTGCAAAGCAGCAGAGTGCAGCCTTGGTGGTCTGAGCTTGATCTGAGCCATCCACGCATTTAGATCCGATGTGGAAAGAGAAGGAACTTCAAGCAGTTCAAAACGACTTATAAATGGTACTGTACAAGCGCCACTCGACGAGCCACTGAGAGAAACACATGGTGTGAGGGTTGTCTAAATTCTCAACAACCTGAGGGGTCCCACACCTGCTCACTTAAACAATAGGTAAAGGTAAAGAATCGTAAAAATGTAGGTACACAACAATTGGGCTTGGCATCAGCATGCCGCCAGCCTCCATGCGACCTGCCGCCACGTCTCACTACAATTGTATAATTATTGGCTTCAAGTCCGTTCAAAATAACATATGATATATATATATATACACATATATATGAAATATATATATATATATGTGTGTGTGTGTGCGCGTGTGTGTGTTTCAGCAGAACTGCTGTATTGCCGCATCGTCCAAATCCTTGGTTGCTGGGCTCACGGATCTGTTCAGAGGCTCTGAACTCTTCGAAGCCTCGGCGCCGAACTCTTTCGCCGTTGATCCCTCGACTCGGCAACACTTTGGTGAGAACCAGGCAGAGCCAACTGAGCCAACCATTTCACTGGCTCATCTCCATGCGGAGTCCAACAGGTCCTCTCAACTTGCAAGCCTCTAGCTGGCAAGGGACTCATTTGCGACACCAAATCTGACTCATTTGCGACACCACCACCCCCCTGTATTCCTCTCATGTACGACACCAAATCTCTCTCATTCGCGACACAGACACATACACACATATGATTGCAAGCATTAGGTTGGGTGGGACATTAGGTTGGGGTGGGGTGGGGTGGGGCATTAGGTTGGGTGGGGGGGGTGGGGGGGGTTTAGGGGTGGGGTGGGACATTAGGTTGTTGGGCTTCAGAGTTTAGAGTGGCATTTGGTGGAATTGGTGTGGAGCTGGATTGGAGCTTTATGACTTTATGAGAACCAAGCAAGGGCCCAGAAGCACACAGATTCTCTAAAAGAAAAGCTCTCCGCGTCACAACTGAGAAAAGCTCTCCGCGTCACATTCGAGACAAAAAAACGCGTCACAACCGAGACCCTTTCCCTCTAGCTTCTCCCAAACGCCCACCCAAACCCTTCCTGAATCTCCCAAGGCCAGTGCCATCTGCAACCGCCGCCTCCAGCAGAAACCTCGGGCGCCGCGATCCGGTCCGCCGCGGTGCCGCCGCGACCCCCGGGTGAGTCCATGGCGTTGATGGACAGGGCAGCAGCCGAGAGGCGATCCTGGTCGAGGAAAAGCCGGGGAGCCCGTTCAGAAGCAGAAGAACACAAGAAAACCTGTGGGAAAAAAAAAGGTGGAAAGAAGTGGCAAGTTTATCCTGCCCGGAAAGCTGATGGGAAAAAGAACCAAGCGATGTAAGAAAAACCAAACCACAGAAAAGAAATTCTCCCTGCACAGTGTTGAGAGTAGAGGCACAGGCAAGGGGGGATAAGACGGATAAGAAGGGACCTGCCGTGCAAAGCAAGCTTTCAAACGCTGAGGCCTTCTCTTTGAAGAAGAAGCAGAAGAGCTGCCTGTCCATCCACCTGCTCTGACTCTGCCGAATTTAATCTGAGGGGCGACCGTTCGCAAGCAGCGGACATTTTCGGACACTCCGTGCGATGAGGCCAAGAATTTGCTGGCGCGTCTTCGAAGCACAGCTTGAGAGGGATGCCCCAGCATTAATCAGGGTGCACCCCAGTGTTCTGAACCGTCACACACAAGGATAATATTAAATTCATTCCTGACAGGCTCAGCTATCTACAACGAATCGAAACTATCCTAGAATCTAATTTAAATTACTGGGGGCCACCTTGATAGGATATATACAACAAATTGAAACTATTCAGCTTCCATCGAAGGTCTCGCACCCGTTCCTTTCGGCCTCCGCAGTGACGACGAGTCCGACGTCCAGAGCGACACAGCGACGTTCGTGCTGCTCAGCGACGTCAGAACCCTAGTCAAGCACCTCACCGGAACGACTGAGCATCGGAGCGCTCCTGATTCTATTTCTGGGATTGTTTGCCATGTTGACAGGTGGACGAACACAAAACACCACGATTCCCCAACCTGCGTGCTCCACCTCCAAGCCACCTTAGCACCGGCCACCCGGTTCCAACCTCGAGCAGACCGGCACCCGCAGGGACCCACAGTCCGGCGAATCGATCGACAAAAGTTACAAGGAATTCCCAAACGGATCGATCATGACATGCATTTCGTCAGCCAGAGGCTGAAGGTTAGCCAGGCCATGCCTATCCGGAGACTCATATAGCAATTTACGAGATTTTATATTTACGTCTGACAAGGCAAGACCGGGACATTTGGTAGGAAACCAGCCAGGATGAGTGCATGTCAACCAGCTCACGACACTGGCGGTTGCTCCCAGGGACGGCGGAAGCGCCAGGACCTCCTCACAATGTCGCAGCACCTGGTGCCGAAGTGCGGAACTTCCGAGAGACCACCATTGGAGGACAGGAGGTCCGAGAGATGCGTCAACTGCCTTACGATTTTATCTTTAAAACATAAGCATGTTGAGCAACACAGGACACAGGTCTTTCAGTCCCTACCTGGTCAAGGCCGCAGCCCCATGGAGCTGATGGGGCCGCCAGCGCATCTGCGATTCGAGTCAGTCCTTGGATCTACAAACGCAAACATTGACCCGGCCAGTGTGAAACTGCAATGTCCGTCCATGTCCATGTCGAGAATCATTGGAACAAGTGCGTCGTGCCTATTTCTCGCGTTAGGTCATCCTGAATCCTGCACCAGTAGGATGTGACAGGATGTGCCTACAATGCCTCATATACATCATACCCTTCTCCGTCTCTCTCTCTCTCTCTCTCGTCCGCCGGAGCCTACGTCCCGCGGTTAAGGCCAAAAGACGTCTCCACAAGCTGGTGGAGTGCACCACCTCGGCTGGTCTACACAACCGACCAGCTATGGACCATCATAGGCGGGAAAAAAGCCTTCCACCTCAGAAGTTGTCATCTCTTGAACTGATGTCGGCTCAGCCATTGCGCTCCGTCGCGCCTTGCATCTCATATTTTAATTAAGGAGGTGCTTGAAAAGGTATATTGCTTGCATGTGGCACCCTCTGCCCCAGCCACGTACAAGACCCGCTTGCAGCTACGTGACCGGCTGCACGCATTTGGAGCCTAGGCCAAATGGGCTTCACGCATCATCCGCGAAATAGGAATCTTCACTTCGCTCCCTGAGATATGTTCCAGCCAAATCCTAACACCACTGCAAACACTTTCCTTCCAGTGGTCTGTTGATCCTCCGGCGTCCTGTCCAACTTCATGAGACCCTGCCATCGCGGGGCAGCATCGTTGCCCAGGAGTCTGATCCGATGCAATGAAGCTTCGCGAGCACTTTCCGCAGACACATCCTCAGACCATGAGGGCCAACGTGCCGTGCACATCTCGTAAAACAAGCCCGTTTTGGATGTCTCCAAGTGCGTTTTGGGTGTCGCATGACTGCCAGATCGTCAGTGAAAGCTGGCGGCGCCCTATGACTGCTCCAATGCTGACTGCGGCCCAGTGGCGCCCGCAGAATCATTGGCCTCAGGTGTCCTGAGTACCACTGAGAGCCCTGATCAAAACACCCCCAAAAATATATTTCCACAGGTCTGGGCTCAGGTCAGTTCAATAGTGAGTTTAAAGAAGTCTCTGAAATTGTTGGTCTGTTTTTGGTTTGGTAGAAGTTGGTTGAGGGACGAAGTGACTTGCAGCCTTGACTAGGGGGGAGGGTGGTTTCTTCATCAAGAAGTTAAGATTCTCTGGAAGAAGGTCGAACAGCAGGTTCACACTATTTCACATGATTCGACAGTCCCGATCCGAGATGGGTCTGAGGTTACCTGTGTCCTGTCCACACAATTTCGGGTCTGGTACAGTGGATACAGTTGATACGGTCCCAAATCTGATACGGTGCATCAGGACTGGATAGGGCCCCTTCCTGAAAGCCTTGAATCTGCTTGTTTCATCTTGCGGTCCCACTCTTTTGGGGTCTCTGATTTTGAGGCGACCAAATTTTTCAAGATTCTAGCAGTCCGTCTATGGGTCTACCAGAATCACCAGTTGATCCATCTCCGCTTCCAAAACCCTCACGCGGCGGCTCCCACTGAATGGTGCCCAGCTTCGCTTGCCCAGGCTGACCGAGCAAAGCCCACATTGGCTGCTGTCTGGTTCCCAGTCACCTAGGTGACTGGGCTTTTGAGGAGTCGAGGCGTCATGCACTACCGTTCACTCTCCGAAAACCTGACAGAATTCCAACTCCTGGAGAGTGAAACGCGGGGTGTTTCACACACCCCACCGAAGGACGAATGAGTTGGGGAGTCGCATCACTGGTTCCGGAATCGCGATGGGGGAGTTATATACATCCGCTCAATGGAGATTGCGCGAGATGTCTTTCCCGGGTGTCTTGGCATGCAAATCTTAACTTTGAGGGAAGTCAAGTACAATAATTCAAAACCAGGACCTCCTTTTCAAGGTGGTCATGTCAAGGTTGTTTCACATCACATCACCTCGCAACAGGTGACCAATGAATACATTCACACAGATTCACCCACGTTCTCAGCTTCCCAGGTGAGATTTATTGATGGTCACGATACGTTTGTTGGACAAAAGTTATGACTCACCCAGGTCACTCACTCACCTTGGAAGGATTGGATCTATCAGCCCCTGTGACCAAGGGACCGCCGCCCAGGCAGGGCGCTTCTCTTGAGGGTGGCCGAACCGCTTGAAGCCTGGCAGGGCGGCGCTTGAGAGCCGCCCGTCGACCGGAACAAGACCGGCCTACAGCGCTGCTTTGATGTTCCATAGAAAAAGAGGTCTTAGTTATTTTTGAATTTGTACTTATAGTATCTTATAGTACTTATAACAAGTATATACTAAGAGTATAGTTATTTTATACATATATATATATATATACATATGTGTGTGTTGTGTGTGTGTGTGTGTGTGTGTTTTTAGTACGTATAGTATCTTTATAGTGTATCCTGGATCCTGCACTTATGGAAGAAGTGAGCAAGCAAAAATGCGACGGGGACCGGCTCGTGTGTACGTTCCAGTGCCGGCCATGGCTTTGGACTACTCACGTGGGTTCCCGGGCACTCTGCCTGGAGATCAAAGCGCTGCAGCCCTCCATGGCTTGCTCCAGACTTCTTGGCTGCAGCTGCTTCTTCGTGTCCTCACCCAGGCACCGGGTTAGACAGCAGAAGTTGAACGAAGCGGCTGGGCCAAATCGGCCAAAAGGACCTGGCGGGCAGCCTGACACATGCTGCAGCTCTATCAGTCCTCCACTTCTTGAACCTCCGGAACGGCCTCCAGGCAAAAAGAGAGGGTGGCTGGTGTTGAGGACGTAGCCACTCATGGATTGAGAGGGGTCTTAAAAGGCGTGAACGCTTAACGCTAAATCGCTAGAGTTTTAAAGTCCAATGCATTTGCGGGAGCTCCTACAACTGAAAAGTTCTTTCTCCCTGAGCCCTCATGATCCTCATGCTTTTGTTGGAGAACTGTCACTCAGGACTTAGGACACTGGCCTCCTTCTGCAACCAATCCAACATCCGCTTCTCCAGGCCTCAATGCCCGAAGCCAAGTCTGGAACTCCAAAGAATCCAAACGAGGGGGGAGTAGACACTGAGAATCACCCCAAACACAATTGAAAACATGACACCAACGTCAAAATCCCGAGAGTGAGCAACATGTCTGCCGCCGCACCCTCACAAAAAAACGTCGGTAGAATCGGTAGAACATGGTAGTCAGTTTGAGGCAGAGCGCTGAAAGTTCAAGGTTGCTCATGTCGGTGGGAGTTGGGCTAAATGCCTCGACGGAGCCTCTACGCTGGAACCAAGGCCCCGTGCCAACAGCACCCTCCGTGGCACTTCGGAGTCGTGCTTCCAGGCGCTTGCAGCGGATCTTCTCCTGGCACATGCCCCGTCCGCACTGCGCGGGATGCATCCCCATCTTCACGTCTGGCCAATTGCAACGCTTGCCGGGCTTGTCCCAAAAAAGAACTTGGGCCGCATGAGTCGCATGATATACAGTCTTGCACAAACTGAATTACAGTACACTTGTCGGATCTTGTAAGAAGCTTCACCATGCTTGACCTCTTCTACATTGCTTCGTCACCAAAGAGTGCATCACCCTTCTCAAAAATGTCCGACTCGACTCGTCTCCTGCTCCAGCTCGGCTGTGACTCGTTTGGCCTCAAGGGGTCGCGTCCGCAACTCTGCCAGCAACATGAACAGACAACCCCTGCAAGGAACCCTGCAAACCTCCGCGTCCCTGCGGGGGGGGTCCGGAAGCTGAAGGCTTGAGGTAAATCATGGGCATATCAACACTTGCAAATGTTTTACAGCCAAGACCTTACGAATTGTCTGTGGGGGGGGCCAATGGCACCCTTTTCTTTTGGAACAAGTGCTCGAAAGCCAGACCCTGCTAGGGCACTAGCAGGTCCTACTAGAATTAGAAGGCCATAGTTGATATATAACTATACCAATTATATATAATTATATATACAGCACAGTTGACCTTTCTGGTCCATCTACTACTTGACTTAAAACTGTCTATATTGAGAGGCTTCAGCTCCTTGTAGCTAGTGGCAATTCATTCAATGAATGGCATCACCTGGCTGTTGGTATGTCAACACACTTGAATATAATGGCGCCTCAGCTTCTGCTGCAGCAAGGCGAGCTTGGAGTCCTCACAAGCAGGAACTGGATGACCATCACCCACACTGGGACCAGGATGAGAAATGGAAGGATCATGAGATATCTGGAGGGTCGTTGTCAGTGCCCAAAAACATGGCAAAGAACGACAGGATTTATGGACTCGACTGACTGCACCCATCTCAACTCCATGTGTCCACCGGTCAACGGCCTCAACTGTCAATTCCAGTTGAAAGTGCAGAAAGAAGACGGCGATTGGTCTCTTGGCCTCAGACCTTCCAAGGGCGTGCAGGCATCTTCACAGAGCGCCAACATCCCATCCAGACTCTCAATGGGGATCGTCATGGCTTTCGGCTCGCTACTGGAGAAGCTCACCAGCTTGGCGCCTCACCCGCTTCGCGCGAAGCAGCTTGGCGCAAATCGGTGGCTTCGGTGCTTCGCGGGTCGTCCGGGCCACGAAGATGCAAATCGGGTAATGGCAGGGGGTCATAGGTGAACAACATCCGAGTCCAGGTGGGCCAGCTAGGTGAACAGGCCCAATTAGATCAGTGCGTAGGTTTGCGTAGACGATCCAGATAGGGGTCTAGAGAGATCCGAATTACTTAAAAACAGCATCTCTCACCAGGTGGGGTTCCAAATGCTTTTGGAGTGGAGGACCTTTGGAACTCTCCCAAAGCTAGCCTCACCTAGTTGAGAGAGCCGCGACTTCAGCATTGGCGCTTTGTGAGCCTTGGAGGCGAGAGTTGGCCTAACGTCGGTCCATGGCCAAACAGAAGGGCAAGTCGAAAATCAATCTATGTGCGGGTAGAGCCCGACTCTTCGAACTATATACAGTTTGTACATCTATATGCCCTAATCACTTCCAAGTATCGGCCACTTCTACTGCCATTCCCACAAGCCCCCACCAAGAAATATCCGCCCCAAGGGCCCCAAGGGCGGTTCTTTTGCAAAAGGTCTTTCGCACGGTGCAGTTCAGGGCAGCAACGCCAGACCGGCGGAGCTGACCGCTCTTGAAATGTCGTTGCAAACATCACGAGATGTCCGGGCCAGCCCATCCCCCGGAACGTGCCATTCAACACGGCAAACGGGGCGCAACATCTGAGGACTGGGGTACCTTACCGCACCAACTTCACCAGGGATCAAAAGGCAAACATAAGTGAAATGCCTTGGGGGTGACATCATGATTGTCTTGGGCCAACTCGGCAATAACGTTGGCACCTGCCAGTACACCTTGGGTGCAAGGCGGGCGCCATGCTCTTCATCGTGTCAGCCTTTATGACCAAAAAAGGCTGGCCGTCTTGCCAGCAGGGGAGTCCACAAGGGCACGAAATAAAGCTTCAACAGCAGTAGGTCTTGGAACTGAAAGTCCTCGGCGTCTGCTCCGTGAGTGTGTCTCACCCTATGTGACATGAATGTTTCCTTTGAATCAAGGCTTGCTTTCCTCCATGAAGAAAATCGAATTCCTCTGCTCCCTGCTCTTTCATGGGCAAAACGAATTGTGCACCGTATAGAACGTACGCTTGCTTTGTTTCTCTTGCAACTCCCGCCCTTCGGGCCAGAACTGCCATCTTGCTGCGACTATGACTCCAAAGGTTAAACTCCATCTTGAGAGAGAGACAAGAATCTCAATATCATAGCCAAAGGCTCTGTGGAGCTATTTGAACTGCATTCAATTGTTGCCACCAATTCAATTCAATCGTGTCCCGAACAATCTCGCTGCTTCATCTAGCAATTCTGTAGCTATCTAATATGATGTATGATGTAATGTTGAGGGTTGCGGAGTCGGGACAACCCTCACTCCGTGAAACGGTTCACTTGCGTCTTGGCGGGCGGTTCTTCGTGTCAGGGTATATATACAGAGACACGATGTCCACCACTTCGGGATGTTCACCAGAAATCGCCAGCCTGCGCAAGCACCGAGCGAAGACGCACCTTCTTGCGGAGGGCGGTCACCCTCAATCACCTCCGTTGAGGCATAGCGAGTAAGAAGAACTGTTACAGCCCAACACAGCCTTTTGATTCCGCGACCTTGAGCCCTGAACCTGCCTCAATCATTCTTCGAGTTTTTCGAGTCATCGCTGTCTGTAGAAAAGCCGCTGCTGCTGCCTTGGCTGTGCCAAGCACACATCTGTTCGTGGTCTTGTGGATCGTCCGTGCAAGCGCGCAAGCCACGCTCATGATAAATTCACACTACACTCACTCTACACATTTACAGCCGGAAGCTGTTTTGATCTCTCACAAGCTTATGAAATGCCACATCTCCAGGCGGCTGCTTGCTTCGGAGCCCTCTTGCTGAGAAGCCAAGCGCCCACCCTAGCACAATGGGACTCTGGATGGCCAACAAATCGATGAACCACATGCCAAAGAATACTAAGAATGTTGGTGGAAAATCCTGGATATGGAATAATGGATTATTGTAGTTGTCGGGCCACGGTGGGTCTCCAGCACTCAGCTTACGATTTCATGCATTCTGCACGGTCTATCCATCTCAATGCCTCACAGCCCAGTATTCTGCGAAGATCTGCAGAGGGCCCCAACAAGCTACTAGGGGCTCCTGGCATCACTACTAGGAGCAAGGACGCTACTAGGGGCTCCTGGCCGTACTAGCTCACATGGTGACACGTGACCTGATCAAAGGGTGCACCCCATGCGGCGCGGCGCCTCTCCAGCCAGGACAGCAGGGAAGTCATTGGGCACCAAGCCTGTGAGGCTGTCATCCGAGAAGCGGCGCCCCACAAAGCCACTGCCTTGGAAGCGGCACCAAGCCCGGTGAGGAGAACCTGTTCGTTTGGTGCGTTTCATGCCCTGCATTTCATGCCGTCGGTGATCCTGAGATCATGGGTTGGGGTTGCGTGTTGAGGAGTGAGTCGGACCTCAAGACTCTGGAAGGCAATGAATCGGAGTTGTATGGACTGACTTGTCGTCATGTTTTGTTGGCACGACATTGCTCAACTGCAATCCAGGAGCAAGCCTCCTGCCTTGTGATCACAAGAACTACCAATTCCAAGAAACCATATGGTGGTGTCAGACTGATCGAAAGCCTGTTTCCAATCAATATCAATCAATCATTGGCCTTAAAACTCCTGTGCCGTGCGCCATCAGGTCAGGTCACTGGCCCGACGTTGCGCTTGCAGGAACTGACCAAACTTCGTGTTGGTGTTGGTCGCCGGCTCCGCTGGAATCACATCTCCATAGTAGGTCTCGGCCTGGCCAGTGAACCCAAATTCCAGCCGACTCCGGACCCAAAGGGACTCAAAGGACCTCTGGGACCAACCAAGCTTTCGGCCCCAGTCAAACAGCCTCGCGCCTGCCCCATGGCACGAGTCGCCCAGTCGAACAACACTTCTTCCTCGCACCATACGTCCGACAAGGTGTCCGGGTTGTCCCTGGGCACGGCCAAAACGCTCGCCTCCGGCCTCCCCGGCCTCCCCAGCCTTCCCGGCCCCACATCTTTGAATTCTCTAGTAGTAAGGCCAGGAGCCCCTAGTAGCGTCCTTGCTCCTCCTCTTAGACTCTTCCCTGGAGTGAGTCATACCAGCTTGTCATCCACTTCAGCCGAAGCACGAGAAGTGCTTCCAAAACATGTTGGCATACCTTGGACAATCGCACAACCGCAAGATGTGCCCCAATATCGGGCATACTCTTCTACGAGCGCCCATCACAAAGATCCTTCTTTTGCATGTCACGTCTTCGTGTCTGCAACAAAGCGGCTGTCTCACAGGCTTTTCATCCTTGAGTATGCTTTGCAAGCCACCTAGGCAACGGATTCATCCAAACAAAACCGCCTTCTGCATCTTCCTTCCCAGGTCGCTCATAGCCAGGGTTCCTAGGTCTGTCACCCTGGAGGCATCTGAGTTCTGTTTCCTGTGCGCCTGTACGCCATCCATATGCTAAAGCGATGCTGTGGAGGGCACTGGCTGGCGCTGGCCAACTGCCCACCCCTCGCACCTCTACCCTTCCCACCCATTCCGCCCCACCTGCGTCCACAGAGATGAGCTCACAGCCATGGTTGGTGTTTGCCGTGCCGTTGTGCTGCCACTTCACCCACAAGGCAGCCTCCACCAGCCTCCCACCGAGATCGGCCAAGATCACCAGTTGATGCACAAGTGAGAGAAATCGTGAAGCAGACAAACCCCCAAGATGCACCAAGTATTTCTAATTGGTCCAACATTCTGACCGCTGATTCACTCGAAGGTCCGAATGCCGAACAGCGGGGCGGGACGTCCCCGAACCATTTCGCTGCCGAGTGGCCAAGCACCAGAATCCAAGGCGATGGCGGGCTCCTAGGGAGGTAAGACACGTGGATGCACCGCGTGGCAGCAAAAGCATTTCAAATACAGCTGGTGAGTGATTCGGCTAAACTCATCCTAGGTAAAGGTTGACCAGATCAGTTGAGTCGAAACCACCAGCTAAACCACCCGTTCTTCTTGCGTTTCCGAGCTTCGTTGTCACCGCGCTCGTCGGCCAAGTAGTCTAAGATTCCCCCGATGACAAAATACATGTGCGTCGCCTGAGCTCGTCTCATGTTCGTTCGCCGGCCCAAGGGAGACAGAGATAGATGAGCCACCCAAAAGGATGAGGAACCTGCAAAACCTGGAGCAAACTGTGTACCAAGGGACATTCTCTCCAGAAGTGATCAGTTCCTGGGAAGTGCTCAGAGACTTTTCCGCGAGGCAGGTGCTCTGGATCTTCCGGGACTGCATGGAGAAGCAAACGTTGCAAACCTCAGTCATCAAGTCAAGTGGCAGGTCAGGCCCTTCCCTCAACGTGTTTTGGTGCTGTGGGATGGAGTTTTTTTTCCCGCAGACAGGGGCCTCTACTGTCGATGGAAGATCCCGCACCACCTAATCATGCTTTATTACAAAACATGCGTGGTGCTTCCTAGCCTCTGAGGTGCCACTAGGATCACTAAGGCCCATGTGCCCCCATCATGTCCATTCCTGCCATGTGGCATCTGATTCTCCATCTTTCTCCCATCCTCCCTCCGCTGCCGCAGTCCCCAGCTATCCCTGCATCATGGTCACATAGAAGAAGGGGTGAACGGCCAAATGAGGTGCATAGACTTCCTTCAACCAGTGGCAAGGATTCGTAGAAATGTTGGTTGGTAAATTTGGCAACTGATACTTTCTCCTCCCCCCCCAAAAAAAGAGGACATCATCCCTTTACAGTCACCTGTTTTGTACAGTCACCTTTTTGAGTCGCGCATTCTTGTGCCCACATTGCATGAAGTTTCGTGGAGTTTCGCCGCCCGGCAGTCGCCCGCTCCTGACTCAGGTCGTGCCGCAGACTCAAGGGTAAGAGCCGCAAGGAAGTGACCTGCATCACCGGTGAGTGAAACCGACGGTTTTCCTCCGAAGAGACGAGGCGCAGCTGGTCCATCAGCTTCTTGGAATTCCCTCTGATTTCGGAACTTTGCCAGGAACCGTTCCAAATTCTCTAAGGCAAATCCTCCTCAATAGAGGTCCAATAGCAAATAACAAATAGATTTGTGCACCCAGATTCTTCCCAGATCTTCAGGTCAGTCAGTGCTGAGGCTCCGGCATCAGATTCGTGCCTCAGGCGGTTCGTGGTTCATGCAAGAGTTGGGCCATCTTCATTCCGCTGATGGTGATCCAACATCTTACAGAAAAGATCAGAAAAGAGACTCCCCTCTGGAGAAAAGAAAGCATGGGGAAACCAGATCTATCCGGGATCTCTCGAAGGGTAGCTCAACGAAAAGACTCCAGTCC